TCAGAGTATTTTATGTCTGAAAATCACAGTGAATAGCACTTGTTAAAAATGCATAGTTAAATTTTCTTACAACTAGATAGACAATTGGAAATAGAATCTTTTTTCACATCTTAAACCAATAGGAATCCTAATAATAATGACTCAGAGATTAAAAAGTTTTTAAAAAGCCATAAAATATTGGAAAATATTGGAAGAAAAATTTGGACATATTGGGGTTTTTCTATCATTAAGTGGGGGAAGTTTTCCTAACTTTGATCCCAAATCCTGAGATCATAAAATGATCAATTCCATTACAATAAGTATACAATTTGTGCATATCAAATAAACAGTACGTCCTACACAGAAAAGGTTGTAACAGGAGACTAATCCTTTACTATATGAAGAGTTATATCAAGTCCATACAAACTAACTGGATATATGAAAGAACAGAGTTCATAGGAAAGAGAATATTGCCTAAACATTGAAAGCTATTCAACTTCACTCAAAATAAGGAAAAAACTATGACAATTTATACAAAATTATAGAAATGGAGAATGGGGTAATGGCAGCCAGGGAGTTAAGAATGAAGTAGGAGGGGATCCTGAAGATGTGGGGTGGATATAAAAAGGCAACATCAGGGACCCCTGTTGTAATGCAAATGCTCCCTCTTTCAACTGTATAGAAGCCAGTATCCTAGTCGTGCTATTGTGCAATAGTTTCCCAGGATGATGCCATTGGGGAAAACTGAGTAAAGGGTGCCCAGCTCTCTCTGCATTATCTCTTACACCTGCATATGAATCTACAATTATTCAAAATAAAATGCTTAAGAAAAACATATCAAGATATTATTCTCATGTTTTCAGACTGGCAGAGGCTAAGTGTGATAACATGATCTGTGGTAAAATGTAGAAAACCAGGGACTCATTCATGAAGAAATATTGGCAATACTCTTTAAAATTAAAAATGCATATATACTCTGACCCAGTGGTTCTTTTTCTAGGAATGTATTCTACGGATATACGCATAGTTGTATGCAATGTTGTGTGCATAAGTTTATGTACTGCAGTGTTATTTTTGCTGTTGTTAATGAATGTTTAAAAACTAAATATCCATTGTATGGGGCTGATTAAATTTAAAAACAAGTCATTAAATGTGATATTGCAGTCTTTTGTATACTGATATGGAGATATTTCCAAACTAATCTATTAAATAAGGTAAAATGCAAAACTATGTGAGGTATATGGTATTACAGGAAAAAGGGTGATATAAATTGACTTTTGATATGACACAATTGATAACTACAGGCTCCTGGCCTCTGTGACTCCCAGCACTCCGACTAGAACTCCTGAAGAGGTGGGATGAGGGTGTGGGCTGCAGGGCAGGCAGAGAAACCACTGGCCATCACTCTTAGGAAGCCTGGAAGAGGAAGAAGGTGCCCCCCCCACTCCCACCAAGCCTACCAGCCCTTGCCATGGGCATCCAAAGAATGTTTGCTTCCTGGTATCCACTGAAATCCTGAGCACCAAACGAAGTGGAAACTCTTGGCATAGATGTCCTGCAAATCCCACCCTCTCCCCTTCCATAGGAGTCAGAATCACAGCCATTGATATTTAAACCCGACTGATGCCAACAGGCAGCAGAGAACAGACAGATTTGCACTGGGCAGCTAGAGCCTGTGCACTCAAGCTGGCTGGCCAGTGGGCCATGGTCATTCCTCATTCCCAGGAACACTGCAGTTTATGACATCATCGCAGTGTTATACTGAATTATATCACAAATCACATTTAAAATGCAAACAGATTCCTCATTTCTTCTCTTCAGAACACAATTTTTAAATGTCAAATTATATACCTCATTCTTTTACAAAGAAACATGTACTAGGGAACACAATTCTATTATTCAGAATGACAATGGAACATTTAAAGAGAGATCTTTCTTGATCTGTCAAACATAAGTAAAAAATCCGCTGCAAAAATAACACAGAGTTTAATGGAAAAATTATAACTTTACAAAATGGTGGCTTTTTCTCAGGAATTATGCACCCAGTTTCAATTACTTAAATACTTTTGTGACTTAGCAAAATTATTTCTCAGTCAATGCTTTGCCATTAGGTTTGTAAAATTTACTTAAACTGATTTAAAAGGAGTTAAGTAAACAAAAACCTTGAGATGCACATATAAAAAAAGAAAAAAAGGAAAAGAAGGAAAGAAGGGAGGAAGGAAAAAGGAAAGTAAAGCACTGTTGTTTGGCAACACAAATTTTACCCTAACCATGGGTCACCCTTCTAAGCAGAGCCCTAGCATTCATACTGTAACGTTTGGCCATTTTCTCAGGGAAGGTCAACTTACTCTCAGGTCCAGGAGGTGAATATTACTCAGTTTACTCTCAGTGAGTGTCAGAGTTTCACCCAAGACAGCAGCAAGAGCAGCATTTGAGAACTTCATTCGAGACATACCCAATCTGAAACTCAGGGGCTGGAGGCTGGCAATCGTGGGTACAGCAAGCCCTCCAGATGTTTCTGATTCAGCGTAAAGATTGAGACCATTGTATAAGCCAATTCCAGTAAGCTTTGCTCCTACCAGTGACTATTGTAGAGAGGTAGATGTAACATAGCTGAACAATGAGACATGAGGGGAAGTCTCCTTGGGTGGGAAGAGATGTTCTAGAATTTTTGTCACTTAAAAATATGCAAAAAAGATACACGCCTAGAGTTACAACTGCAATCTGAGTCCATAGGGGAGTCCTGCTTACACCTGAGGTTGGCAGATCCTGGGCATTTCTTGTCGTGTGAGAAAATACGCCTAATTTTATCATAGCCAATTATATCCTAATTACGTTCATAGGGTACCTATTAATAAAGAAGAAAACTGGATTTCTCATTAAGGAGAAAATCATATTGTTTCATTAACACAAAGTTGTTTTTTTTTTTTTTTTTACAAAATCAGTTTAAAATAAAAGGGATTATGTTTGCCAAGTACCTACTACGTGATAAATTCTTCACATACCTTCTCTCTCTTAATCTACATGACAATTCTGTGGTGAAGGTAATATTTTCCCTATTCAGTCTCAGAGACACTATGCAAATTGCTTATCACCAACCTCATTGTAATTAATCCTGTACTTTCATTTCATCAAAACAATATCACATGGCTGGATTTAATCTTGTTACCAAGATTTATTTTCAAGATTTGATAAGTTCTTTGACATTTTGATTCACTAATTCACACCCTCTCTATTTTACTTTCAGGGGAAGAGATAAATTCTTCTTTAATTCTCAAACATATGGCCTTTGCCGTTATCCATTCATTTTTTATTAATCTTGTGATAAGAAAGTGATGGGAATCCTCCCCACACACTCACTTCTTTCTTTCCATACATGTTACAGTAAATGATGACGGTACACAGGATCACACACCATAATTCCGTGCATATGTTTGTTACTATTATCTGGAACCTCAATATCCCCTGTAACTTGCTTGTAGATGTGCAACTGGAAGGCATCCAAAATGGATGTTCATTTGAAGAGTTTAAGGTTTGCAATTGAAAAGGGAATTAGGTAGATAGTAAAGTTCTATATAGACCTCAGAGCAAGCATATTCTAATATATCTTAATGGTAGAAATATATAATGATGAGATATATTTGTATTTTATTTTGAAAGAGAAAAATTTGAACAGAAATTAAAATGTGTGTAAAAATATAT